ATGAATCATGTATATTTATCGGTTCAAATAATAATAATATAAATAATAAATAAACAAAATGTATATTTACATGGTTCTCTCGAAACGTATATATAAATGTTTCAGATTAAAAAAATTTAAATTAATTATTTATTGTTATATCAAATACACACAAGATGAATATAATTATTTAAAAAAATTTATATATACAAAACTCAAATCTAATATCACTTATTTAAATGATTAAAGATTTTTTCTTGACCTAAATCTTTATGTCACAAAACATATATAAATTATTGAGCAAAATGCAAGAATCACCAAATGCAAGCAAATTGATTGTTTTTCTTTCCTTAAGAGAAATTTGGACAATACTTTTATTAGTATTTTTAAAAATCTTTTTGACAATAATGCTGATGATTAATAATTTTAACTTTGAATAATATTCTATAATTATTATGGCTTTAATTTTTTTTATTATTAATACATTTTTTTGTTATTATATGCATTTATCTAATTATATAATTATGATAAATATTTGCCTTACTTCGTCTATGTGCATGCTTCACTTAGCGTCCTATACTTAAACTTTAGAAATTTTACATGTTTATGTGCGTTTCATATGTTTAAAAGCACTGTTATTGTATGATTTTATCTAGCGAAAATAATAATAATAATAATTACATGTTATATACGTGTGACATATAAATTAGAAGAAATATATACACATACATTTTGTTTCGGTTAATCTAAAAGTTATAAGAAATATATATTATTTGAACAGCGTAGCTATTGCAGGTGCGGTTGATGAAAAATCTGATAAAGTTGTCAGTAATTAGAAAGCCTAATGGAGAGGGTGGTGGTGGTGTTGCCCTCTCCTCTTCCTCTTCTCCTCCTCCTTCTGTTACCTTGAAACCCCCGCTCTCTCTAATCTGACTTCTTTATGGACCCCACAGCATGGCAGGAAAAGCGTGACGTGCGGGAAATTTTTTTCTTAATAAAAAAATCCTTCACAGGGAGATCTTTCATCAGCCGTTGGATCCTCTGGTTCCGTATCAGAATATCACGTGGCGGGGCCCACCGTCTCTGATGATAATGAAGACATTGACATTTCACGAGCTGGTAAATTTTTGGGACAGGTTTAGCCCAATAAGAAAGCGACACCTGTCACGGTAATTCCTATGGCTGGATTTGTCCGTGAGGATTCTTAGGTGGTGGAGTGGTGACGTCCGTAATCTCCTCCTAATTCGTGTTAAATTCCTTAGGACAAAAGTGACTGACACGTGCCCGTGATGATATGTTTTTTGAACCAGAAAAAGATTTAGGGCAAGACCTAGAAACGTCGCCAACTAGTACAACGTTATCTAAAAACAATTTTTTTTTTTCAATATTTGATATGTCAATTGAAGGATTAATAGCACGATTAGTCTCTCAAATCTTCATATATATTTTTTAATATAGTTTTTTTATTTCTTATTTTTTTTTAATATGGTTCCTCTTTTAGATTTTCAGCTAATCTTTCAAGAGACATGTGCTAAAAAAAAAGTATAATGACGTCGTATAAATTATCATGTGATAAAAAAATAAAAAAACAAAATAAATAAAACAAATTCGTTGAAAACGATATGGAAAAAAAAATTTTAAAATACAAAAAGCATTCTTTCTCTCTTATATCTCCATCTAACCAACAACAAAATAAAATAACTATAATAAAAAAAGTCTTTGTTCCATTCTCCTTCTGTTTTTTGAGCCAAACAATCTGTATTAGTTAAATTTTCTCAAAAGCAAAAAAATAATTCCTTGTCTACTTTCCCATAAAAAATCAAAACTAAAACTACAATAATCAGAGAGAAGAAAAGAACAAATACGGATGAAAAAATATAATTTGAATGATGAATCATTTAGACCTCACATTAGAATTTCTTCTTAGAAAATGTTGAGTTCTCTATAAAATTAAATTATTTATAAAAAAAATAATTTGAATGGGGTCCATAATCAAATACGGATGAAAAGATTTAATTGAAAATTTCTAATACTTAGAGACTCAATGGAAATAAAAAACTGTTTCAGGATAAAATTAAGACTAACTATATAAGTGGGAGACATTTTTATGTTTGTCTAAATTTTAGGAATGTAGCACCCCATATGGGTAAAAGAACAAAAGAAGCACATTATATATATATATATATATATAACAAAATTATAAAAATCTTTGAAATAGAAAATTTTTTAGTTCGACTATAAATTATTCATAATGTACATGACAATTATAATTATAGGATAAAAATGTCAACACTCTCAAAATATAACTTTCAACTTTTAAATTTTTATCAAAGTAAAAATATAATTATCTATTAATAGATCAAAAGTTATAAAAAATTTGAAAGTATAGATATATAACAAAACTCAATTCTTAAAAAATAAAATGTTTATAAATATCTAAGTAGAGAAATGGATAACATATATATTAATCTCATATTGACAAACAATTTATAATTTTAACACTTACACATGTGTATTTAGAGGCACACATTGCATCTATATTGTAATTCATAAGTAAGTACTTCTACAAACAAAATTAATTGAATATATCTAAATGAATCTTCTCTTTTGTCACTAAATCAATAATGCAATAGCAAATATTGTTTATTGATATATTGAAATATATATACATACAAATTATAGGATTAAAGCATTGGAAACGTGAGCTATAATTTAGAAAATAGGGAACGGTTTTAGTTTTATCCTATATTTTATATTCCAAAATACTTTGGAATAAAGTTGAACAAATATTGAGAACTAAGAACTTTTTAACCACAATTTCATATTCAAGGATAAGTAGTTATAATAACACCTAACAGTTTTATTTTCAAATAAAGAGAGAAAATTCAATGTTTGCTTACACTTAAAAAAAAATTGTAATTAAATAAATAAAAAAACTATTTTTCCTTAGAAGTAATAATTTGATAAATGGGAGAGGCAATAACCTTTAGGAAGAAAAATTTTATATACAAAGCTTTAGAGTCTCAACTCCACAAAAATTTTTTAACAAAAGATTAAAACATTTTGTAAGATCAACCAAATGATATGTTTCTCATAATAGAAGGAAAATATGAATAAGAAGCAAGCCAATATGCGAGTGCGATTGGCTTCTATAAGAGTGTGAAATCTAAACATACCACAATTGTTGAATTAGATTACGAATAATGAAAACCAATTGACTATAATCACCATGATTGTCACCTTCGAAGTCAATAAATGAATAACCAACTTAGAATCGAGTTTTAATAAGCACCTATCTATAACAAGTACACTATGTCATCTAATCTAACGAGGGTACCTCGAATTTTAGCACACAAAAATGAACAATCTCCAATATGATAAGAAAAGCCTTGAATCCGGATGCTTGATTCGTGATGTAAAATACCGTCGGTAGTAGATGTGTCGATGAAATTATAGAAGGTTTCATCGGTGTTTAATTTAACCTAACTTTTAGGTGGCTTCTACCATTTAATGAAAACCTCATGCTTACCGCAAACTCGGTTTCATAATAGAAGAGATCATTTGAATGCTAGTAGCAATTTGAGAAGTTAAAGAATAAATCGCTCCAATCGAATTTGAATGTGATATAGCTCATCAACAAAGAAGTTTTTTATTGCATCGATTCCACAAAAACCGGAAAAAAGAACCAAACTAGGTACTCCATAAAAATGTTCCGTTATGATGACTTTGCTTAGTCTCGAGGTTAATCTAAAACTAGTCCTTAAGGTTGAACTCAAAAATATTCTTAAACATCCGAGAAGCATCACACATATTCTAAAATGATGCGAGCATAACAACAATCTCTTAGAATGTGAAGGTCAAACTTTGACAAAGTCCCACAACAATAACAAATAGAGTCATTAAATAAAACCTTTGGAATCCCTTACTCGTCGAGTGAGTAACATGCTCGTGAATGATAAGTCATAAAAAAATATTTTATTCTTTAGAGACCAATCTAATATCAAACCAAACTCCACTTATTGTTAGCAATGCTTGTAGGAGAATAAGTAAGGATTGTATAAGTTGATTTAGTAGAAAAGACGTCATTATTATATATACTCCAACAAAAAATATCGTTGTCGGCATCTATTCAATAAGAAAGAATACCGATAATCCTCAAACAAATAAAATTAAAAAGTAATCTAGTAAACATATTTTCCCACAAAGAACTAGAAGCAAAAACAAACTCCTTAACATGAGAATACAAGATGCTAGGAGGAATAGGATGAATGTCATGATCACACAAGAAACCTACATTTGAAAACCAAGAATCAAGTTAGAATCAAATACGTAAAATCATCTCTAATAAAGCATCTAATTCCCCCTCATTTCAAATAGAGAAGCATAATTATCACTATTTACATAAGTAGGCATAACTTTATTGATGTAAATTCAAATATAATGATTCTATTTTATTTAGTTATTACAAGACATAAGAAAGCACTATTAAACGACATATAGTCAATTAAAGAGACGAGTACAGTCTATCCGAGTCCCGATTCATAGTGACGGTGATAAATAATAAACTATCCATTCATTTTTTTCTTTCTTTCTTTCTTCTTCTTTTTTTCTTTTTTTTTTTTTTTTTAACGTGAAGAGAAAAATATAATATAACAAACCTTTGCAATGAAAAAATAAAATAAAATAAAAAACTCGTTTTCGCATTTCCTTCTTAACTGGCACCTGTAAGTTACTCCTTGTGACGCCATTCTGCTTATCCTCTCTCTCTCTCTCTCTCTCTCACTCTCTGGTCATGCCTGTCTTAAATTCATTTCACGCCATCCTCCACAACCATGATTATTACAAGTTGACAAAAAACCATCAACGTAACATTCCCGATTTCCCATTCTTCCATCTCCTTTCAACAAACCATAAGCCTACTGCTTCTGCTAAATCCACCCTTTACCATAAACTCCATAACCCATCTCCTTAACCCCAAAACCACCCAACAATAACAGTCCTACTCTCTTTCTCTTTCCAAAATGGACCTAAGTGTTGTACCCTACCAACAACAACACAAATCTGAAACTGACCATGACCAACATGTTGACATAGTACTCCAAACGAAACCAATCACCACCATGATCAACTCAAACCCCAAAACAACTAAGGATCCTTTCAACAACATTGTCAAGTACAAAGAATGTATGAGGAACCATGCTGCTTCCATTGGTGGCCATGCCAATGACGGTTGTGGTGAGTTCATGCCACGTGGTGATGATGGCACCCGCGATTGGCTCACTTGTGCTGCCTGTGGTTGTCACCGTAACTTCCATAGAAGAGAAAGTAGTACCAAAAGACAGCACCAACAACAACTCCTCTTCTCTCCACCACCACAACCACATCAATTTCTTTTGTACGGTTCGCCCACTACTAAAAACATGAACCCAGTTCATCATTTCATCTCACGTCCTCATGATGATGATGATGATGATGACGACCTTGACGATCTTGATCATGATCGACGGTCAGAGACGCCTGAGAGAGGAGAAGTGAATGTGGTGGGGTCAGGTGGGAAAGGGTTTATGGTAAAGACTACTGGCAGCAGTAATAAGAGGTTTAGAACGAAGTTCACGCAGGAGCAAAAAGAGAGGATGTTGGACTTTGCTGAAAAGATAGGGTGGAGAATACAAAAACACGATGATATGGCTCTTAATCAGTTTTGTAACGAGGTTGGTGTCAAAAGGAATGTTCTTAAGGTTTGGATGCATAACAACAAGAATGCCCACCGCCGTAGAGATGGTGCTCCACCTGTGTCTGCCGAGGCCCCTCCTCCTCCTCCTCCGTCTTCAGCTCCAACTCAGCCTGTTGGAGTCCAGTAATTATTATTGTTACACTTCGATCTTCAATTTCTTTCTTGGTCTCTTTTTTATCTTCTTTCTAAGACTTCATTAATTACCACTCTACTACTTTTTTAATTAGTATGTTAGTATCTTAATTTTAGTGAGTAATCTAATTGATGGACATGAAAAGTCTAAAATGTCATTAATTCTGCAAATGATCTAAAATTTGTTTAGATTTGTATTGTGAACTAACTGATGGGATCGAGATATATGTGTGTGTAGCCTTTATTTACCATTAAAAAAAAAAAAAAAACGGAGAGATAACTTTTAGTTGAATACATGCATGGCAGGGAAACCAAAACCAGAAGGAATTGCTGAATGTCAAAGAAAGAAATATTTTATTCTCAGTGATCATGCATGATTTGTGTGGTGACATTTTCCTTTCTTTGTAGATAAGCATATGGTTGGAGTATGGGCAGTGTAGATTTTTTGCATTTTCTTTTGGAAACCTAAGCTAGTTCATTGGACTGGGAACACATAGTATGGCTGTGATGTCAAATGGGGACAATAAGACATTAATTTGGCCCTTGCAATGTTGTTCTAAAAGTGAAAAAAGAAGCCATTTTTTCCCCTTTCGAATATGCATTAGAAACAGACATGAGTGAAAGTATAGATGAGAGCGAGACGGGACAAAATCGGTGCCCAAAACCAACTCATGGGATCGGATGAATGATTTAAAGTAAAATGGCATTCCATACCTGTGTATCTTTGACAGGAGGAAATCTTATCTTATCTTCATGAAGTGTAGCAGTTTAGAAAAATACAAGATTCAATTAAAACAATGCAAACGCTAACAAGTTATTGGTCAGTACTAGTCTAGTTGGTTATCACGTGAATTTTTTGGGCTTTGAATTTTGAAATTGTATTTATTGACAGAAGTTTAACAATTTAATTTTCATTTAGTTTTTAACAGAATTAGTAATTTGGTACAAAAAAGCAAATTAAATTAAATTAAAATAGTATATGTACCTTGCCTTGCAGGTTTAGTTTGATTGATAAATGGACATACTTGCTTTATAAATTAGGATGCAAATCTTAAAAGGGGTCTTATGAAGATTATTTTTATGAATATGTTAATTTGAATATAAATATTTTATTTAAGATTTGACAGTGCAATGATCCAGCTTAAGGTGTTTTTTTAACTTTGGACTTGTGAAAAAGTCATAAATATATTTGGTTAAAAATGATTTTTGATTTAAATTAAAAGTTTGTTTTAATATTAGGTAAAAATTATTATTTTTAACTTTTAACTAATGAAAAACTTATACTACATTTACCCTTCAAAAAAGTCACTTTATATTATTTTTATAAAAATTATTTCAAAGTTAAACTCATTTTTATCATAAATTATTTATAGAAAAACAATTTTTGAATTATAACTTAAACTTAAAAGTTACTTTTCATAAATCATGGAGAATATATTCTTAGTCTAGTCTCAAACACCAAAAGCTTATTCTCGAGACAGCCTTTCCACCTAGTGAAAAAAGGCCATATAGTACCATGATTCTAGCAACCTATAGTTGATCATTAAAAAAAAAATAATAATAATAATAACAAATAAGGTTGAATGATCTCATTTTGCCCTCAGTTTTTTTTTTTTTCTGTTCTTTTTTTTTTAAAAAAAAATTTGTTAATACAACTCTGAATCAATTTAATTTGTTAATATGATCCTTAACACTTCATGATATTTGTTGGTGGATCTTATACATTGACGTTCAGGTAGACTAAAATTGCCCACATGTCCAATTTGGGTTCCACTCTAGATTTTTATAACCCCAATGGAGCATTAAATTTAATCATTTTGTACAAAATTATAATAATATTTAAATATGAAACCTTAAAACTCTTCTTTTTAATGGTTAAATCATAAAAAAATGACTGGTCAAATCTGTTTTTTTAAAAAGAAAATGTAATTTATTTGATACTAATGATAATATATATATTATGGTTACAATTTTTACAAGACTCAAATAAAAATAACATATAGAAAATTGAATCTAAGTAAGTGAAAATAGACTGGATAATTAAAATAATAACTATTGAAACTCAAGTAACATATTGTCTTCTTCGTCTTGGAGATTTTTCACTGAGTTTTTTTTTTTTTTTTTAGCATTTTCTTGTCAGACTGTTCACGGTTGAATCATTGTTTGTATTTCAATCCCAAAAATCTCTTGCACCATTTATCAATTGTGGTACGTGGAGCATTACCAAACCTCATTAATAAAAGAATCAAGACTATAATGATATATTGAAGCGTCTCTCTTCTAACAAAGGTCTAATTAACAACTTTACCACTTGAAATCTAAACATAGATTGTAAATCTATTTTCCGACCAATTATATATCATTGAATAAACTTATAGTTGACTCAAATAAAAAACCAAAAATCTCAATGATTGAGGGAAAAAAAAAAACCATGAATTTTAAATTATACAAATTTAGATTCATAATTATTTGGGTTTATGAAAGCATCAAATCTATTAACTAGATATAAGACTGAGATTACTTAAAAAGAAATGGAAAGGTAATTTGGGGGGTGGTGGTGGTGGTGGAAGGGGGAGAGGGGTTGCTGCTGGTGTAATTTTTACCAACATAGTCCAAAATGATGTATTTTTTAGGGAGGGTTTGGAGAGATAGTTGTATTAAAAGTTTTAACTTTTTTGTTCAAAATTAAATCTAATTAAATTGATTTACAAAAATAAACAAATCTCTTTATATTTATAAACTCTAAAACAAATAAATAGTTAATGTTAATTAATGTAACTTTATTATTCTACTAATCTAAAACATAAAAAACCCTAAACGAATCTAACCAATCAATTGTATAAGCATCTATAATCTAGCATTTGTATACTTGATAGTTTTTTTTTTTTTTTTGGAGTAGGTTAAAGCTCTATTAATTCTAATTTGTTTTGATTATTATATAATGGAATAGGGCTACCTCTCATTTTATAAATATTTTTCATGTTATTTTGTGTCTGTCTTAATAACAAATAATAATAATAAATAAATAAATAAAATAAAAAATGGTTGAATGGTAGTGTGCAAGGCAACCCAACTTCTAGACTCAAATATGAATGAATTTAATTAATTATCTCAGGCATTCTATTGCTTGTTTCAATGATTGTTTATATATATATATATATTAAACTAAATAAAATAGGTTGTAATCATTTTACAAACCTAAAAGAGGTTTGCACTTGTTCAAATTGACTTGCAAGTTTACAAGGATGAATATTCACAACAATAAGTATCTCAAACTGACAATTCAAATTCTCTAAGTTAATTTGTAGTCAGAATCTTGCATTCAAACTTCAAATTTTGAAATTAACAAGTCATATTCTAGTGGAAATTAAGGTTGCAATCTTAATAGTGACCTAGGTGTAACCAGAAACTTTAAATTTGGAAGTTTAATAATACACCAATCAAAATCATAAGATTTTAATTCTAACAATACATAATTTGAAAAAAATGACTTACATTCATTAATGATGATGAATGCTTACAAATTGGTACTTCGGACATAATAATTTTATAAGAATTTGATTATAAAAATTACAATCACATGTTGTGCATACGGGGTGAGAATCAAAAACTAAACAATCGGTCTTTTTGATTATTACTTACGAATTATAACTTAAAAAACTTAAAATGTGTTGAAATCTGCAAAAACTACTCTAAGTTGTTTGCAATTTGCAAATTGAATTTGTTTGGATATTGTTTTTTTATTTTTATTTTTATGATCTCCACAGTAGATCACGTTCTTCTGTATTTTGTCATGGACTTTTGTATGCTTTGTGTTCTCTTGTAATCTTCACACTCTATGGTATAATGTATAATGTTTTTTTTTTAACCGTAAAGATCGTGTCCTTTTTAATGCTAAATTCTTGCTAGTTCTTCGTCAGTCGCTTGTTGTCCTGTTTTTCTATTTATTAGGATTGTTATTTCTTAATCATTTATATTCAAGAGTCCATACTCCATGAATTACTGACCCAAAACTGTTAATTCTACCGTCGCATATCCTTGCATTCTTGTTGGATTTCAAGCTTGAGATCGTGCCCATTGGGCTTTAGATATTCAACTCTAAGTTGGGTATTGGACCTTGAATTAAACACGAGCTTGACCAAACTAAATTTGAGTATAATCTCTGTTTTTTTTTAATTGCTCTCTTGGCGCTCAATTATTTATTCTTTCAAATTCGATTCAGTTATATTGTAGAGATCGTACTGAAACAACGTCTGCCATCTTGCAACCTCATCCTTCTTATCCTTTGCAAAGCGTATTCATCCCCAATTTCTAGGTTTTATCTCGTCTTTTCGTCTTCTTCATCCCTGAAAGCTTATTTCTATAACAGTCATCTCTTATCAATTCCTTACAATATCTATGCTTCCTAAGAAGTCTACCACTGTCGCTAAATTCGGTATTCTTTGTCACTCCTCCCGCTACAATGCCCCGAGAAGTCACTATTACAGAGGAAAAAGAAAGAGAACGACGTCGTTTACACAATAAAGAGGCAAACTTGGTTTTGGCGCCAAAGACAATTATCTCCCCTGAAATTGCCTCCACATCCATTTTCATTGGCCGACATCAAAGATTCACTTTGTTCACACACTTCACAGTTTTTGAAACTAAAATCAAATGAAATTCCCTTTGTTATAGTTAGGGTTAGGGTTTTCATGGTTCGACAAACAGAGAAAAAGCAGCTCACCTCTCTACCTCCAGTCATCTTCGACAAACACCTCCACATCGATTCCAACCGCTATGTAGATTCCTTCCCGTCACCGTCGATGAACTCGACCTTTTAAAAATCTCGTCCTATACCGCCCCTACATCAATTTTTAATCAAATGCCAATGCTGTCTCGCGGCGAAGAGTATAGGAGAAGGAGATTGAACAGTGTGATTTCTCCGGAAAGGCATGATCCGTTTGATGGCTATGGAGAGAAGACTCTTGATCCTCCGGTTAGGACCGATGTAATGAGGGAGAGGGAGGCCAAAGAAATTAAAGAACTTCTGAAAAAGAAGAATGGATGCTCCTCCGAAGAGGCAGGTTGATGTGGGATGAGACCCCGCATAATATGATTTCTACTCCAAAGGCAGGGGCGAGTGGCGACAACTACTGGGGTTACGCCTGTTGGTGAATTGATCTGACCACGCCCCTGCTTGGGGAACAGTATAATTCGTTGAGGTGGGAGAAGGATATTTAGGAGAGTACTAGGCCGTTGAATGATGAGGAGTTAGATGCTATGTTTCCGTTAGATGGTTATAAAGTTATGGATCCTCCGGTTAATTAGGTGCCTAGTAGGGCTCCAGTGAGGAAGTTGATGGCCATGCCTGCACCAGTGGGGACTCCACTTTATCCTCTTCCGGAGGAGAATACGGGACAGTAATTTGATGTGCCAAAGGAGGCACCTGCTGAGTTGCCGTGTATGAAGCCTGAGGATTATCAGGATTTTGGTGCTTTGTTGAATGAAGACGAATTGTCTCTGGAGAAGCAGGAGGAGAGAAAGATCATGAAGCTGCTGCTGAAGGTTAAGAATGGGACTCCGTCTCAGAGGAAGACTGCACTGAGGCAGTTGAGTGATAAAGCGATGGAATTTGGTGCTGGGCCATTGTTTGATCAGATTTTGCCACTGCTTATGAGGCTATCTTTAGAGGATCAGGACAGGCATCGTTTGGTTAAGGTAGTTGATAGGATTGTGTATAAATTGGATGAGTTGGTTAGGCCTTATGTGCATAAGATTCTTGTTGTGATTGAGCCCTTGTTAATTGATGAGGATTATCATGCACGTGTGGAAGGGAGAGAGATTATTTCTAATTTGAGTAAAGCAGCAGGTTTGACTACTGTGATTACTGAAATACTTCCTGCTAGTGATCGTGTTGATGAGCATGTTAGGAATACAACTGCCAGAGCTTTTAGTGTTGTCGCTTCTACTCTTGGGATTCTCGCCCTGTTGCCTTTCTCGAAGGCTGTGTGTCAGAGTAAGAAATCATAGCAAGCTTGGCACATTGGAATCAAGATTGTGCAGCAAATTGCCATTTCGGTTCATTGTGCTGCCCTGCCTCATTTGAGGTCTCTGGTGGAAATCAATGAACATGGTTTGAAGTGATGAGAATCAGAAGTCACGACAATCACCGCTTTTATTTGGCTGCTCGAGCCGAGGCTGCAGCTCCTTATGGTATTGAGAGTTTTGACTGTGTCCTGAAGCCGTTATGGAAGGGTATCAGGTCACGCCGTGGCAAGGTCTTGGCTGCCTTCTTGAACGCAATTGGTGGATGCTAACTATACCAACGAAGTGATGCATTTTCTGATCTGTGAGTTTCAGTTTCCTGGTGTAGAAATGAAGAAAAATGTGCTGAAAGTTGTCGACCAGTGTGTGAATACTGAGGGTGTCAAAGCAGATTAAATTCGTAGGAAGGATGGCTTTGGATAGGAGAAACTATATGCAACTTGTGGACAAAACTGTTGAGATTGCTAACGAAGTTGGTGTTAAAGATATTTTAGTGAAAGTTGTTGAGGATCTAAAAGATGAGAGTGAACCGTACAGGGTTATGGTTATGGAAACAATTGAAAAGATGATATCGAATTTGGGTGCATCAGGTGTTGATGCTCATGGACAGAGATTTAGTTCATAGGCAGACTGCAGCTTCTGCTATGAAGCATATGGCTTTGGGGGGTGTTGCTGGTTTGGGTTGTGAGGATGCTCTAATAACCTTGCATGGCCAAACATATTTGAGACTTCTCCTCATGTGATAGAACGCTGTCGTGGATGCTATTGATGGAATGAGGGTGGCCTTGGGTGCTGCTGTTGTGTTGAACTATGTCTCCAGGGCCTCTTCCATCCTGCTCGAAAGGTCAGGGAGGTGTACTACGGATCTTTGTATATCGGATCTCAAGATGCCATTGTGGCAGCATATCCTGTTCTGGAGGATGGGCAGAAGAATGTATATAGTAAGCCGGAGTTGATGATGGCCATCTAAAATGCAGCTTTGATTGCAGTACAATAGGATTAAGGGAAGTATTTAGAATAGACGTTCATGTAATTTTTTTCATTTCGTTCCTGTGGATTTTTTGCAACTATGTGCTTGTGATATCGTACTTTCTTGAAAATTTGTCAGCCTAATGAGCTTTGAAAGCACATTTTGAGAAACTGGTTATATTCATTGTCGGTGGCATATCAAATTATCAATGAGGGGAAGAATATTAATCTGATACTCTCTTGGCATTTTCTTGGCTGGATTTGCTGCTGGGTTAGGATGGACTAACACCTCGACAGTAGAGTCATTGGCAGGCATGGAATACTGGTTGGAGGGCTGCACACTAGAAATTGATTTCCATACTCAGCCCATGAAGTGGCCCAATCTCAGCCCAAAATATTGTCTAGCAGCCCAAACCCAAGTTTCCTTTACATTGTTTGTGTCTTGTTGAACAAGCAAAGGGGAAGAATGCACAGGGAAAACCAATAAACGATCCAAACCAAACCCCAAATTGTTCTCTAAAAACAGCAACCGGTACCTCTGCCAAGCAAAACCCTAAACTCTAAAGCAAGCAAAAATGTACGATTTGCTTTCTGAATTATTCCGTTACCTCTTCAGCTACCAGGAAATCCGAGTCCAATACATCCGCAACCAAGAAACCCTTATTCACAATTTTGAAGCTGAAGTGTTTCATTTTGAAACCATATTTGAAGATGCTAAGAAGCGACTCCATGAAGCTAAGTCTGCCAATAAAGCTACTCTTAATGGGATCAGTTTGGCAGAGTTTGAAGCGTATCTTAATCAGGGCAAAACCTTACTTGAAGAGCAAAAGAAGCTAAACCTTTCCTTCAAAGAAAAGATTGAGGACGCAAAACGTCACTTTGATATTGCTGTTGCTCTTGGATAGGGTAGGTAATTAATGCTTCACTGATTATTACTAGTAATTATGCTTAGTTTTTTGTTTATATGCTATGCCCGTTTTATATTCATTAAGAAATTGCTGAACATTGGTAGCGAGACACTCTTTAATGTTTTCTTTTTCGTTGAAACTGACAGGGTTCGTAGATTCCACTTGGTGCAGAGTGGTTTTGGTTTTGTTGAAGTTTTGACGGTACTCTAGTGACTTAGATGGGATACCTTGCTGATTTTTTAGGTATATTGCATTGTAATTTGTACAGAAGAAGATGAATGTTGCATGTTCAACGGATTAACTTTGCTACCTGGTTTTTGACCTAATATTCTAGGACTTGAATTTTGTTGGCTAGTTTTTTTTTTTGGTTGTCTTGTATATGTAAATTGATATTATCTTGAAGAAAGGAAACAAAATATATAGCAAGGTAGTCGCAATATTGATTGTTTATTAATGATCCTACAATTGGGTTTACAAATATGGGTTTTTCTAAGAGGGAGGGACTGTCTTGTTTAGTCCCTAAATCTTGGAATTGCTTTTTGGTGCGAATTTGTTGGCTTGTTAATTTGACACGGTATGGATTATGGACATGGTAATTCTGAAATTTTTTTTTTATATATATAGTATATGTTATAAGATTCAAGTTTGAGGTTATAGCGAGCATGCTCAGATTTTAGTTGGATGCCAGGCTAGCCTTTATGATGGGATAAAGGCTGTTATAAGTTCACCCAACTTCATTTTATCTCTCTATTTGGCTGTAGAATCTAAGCATTTTGACATGCTATGTTAAATTCCACTAAGCAAAGTGTGTGTGAGTTTTGAGCAGAACTTAATTTTGTTAGGATTCTCAATTTTACATTGGGCAGGGCAGGGCAACAATTTTTCATGTTTCATAGTCCTATAAGTTTTGGGGAAGGTGGTATCATATGCACAAATAAGTGTTCTTTTACTATCTGTAACAAGGAGTACACTGATATGAACTGCTTTAAGCTGTTCTTATGTGGTTCGAAATGTTTTTTCGGAAATATATGTTTCTCTTCTACCAATTTCCATCTATTGAGCATTTTGAATATTATTTACTAGCTTAGCTAAATACAAATTTAGGTGAAATCAGTTGAGATTCAGATTGTGCTGGTCCTGGCCTCATCTGATCATGTTTGGGTTTGAAATATGTTCACAGCTTTTGTTTACGATTTCGTCTATCATGAATAATTTGCAACTTTGATGATATTTTGGTCTGCCGCCAGATGACTAACTCACAAATCATTTATAGTTAGGATATGATCTAATAGGGTTCATAGGTCTTAATTCTATCCCTGTGTTATGTTACAATATTCTATAGCATGTTTGAGACTATGTTTTTCCTGTGTTGTCAGGTTTGGTATTCATGTTTCACATTTGAAGCCACTTCAAGGAGCATTTATGATGAGACACTATTAATCCATATATTTAAATACGTCTCTGAATTTGCACATACTATCAGTCAACTTACTGTTGCTTGATATATTTAGTTGGAAAAGTTTGTTGTTGCGTGCATTGAACAAAAATTTTTGACTTTCATGCATTATAATGCTTTCAGTTTAGAGTAAAGAGAGTGAAGGTGTTCTGAAAACTGAGGTTTCAAAATCCTTTTACTAGAAACTGGACTGCAGCTTTGAAATGTGACCACCTCATTTGCTGTCTCAATCAACCAAAATGGTGAAATTTTAATCCCTTCCCTGTAAGCCGGAGAAGAAAATAATATATTCAAGTTCTGCTAGCTTGTGCTTCAGTTTTAGGATGAGAGTGCAGAAGTATTTTTCTGGGTTCAACCTATACTTTTCAGTGATTTTAATCTGAAACTAGAGGCAACACACGCAGACGAAATATTTTAAACATAAATCCAGGAGCTTATTATTTTATTCCTAGTAACAAGTGTCAATGAAGTACGATCAGTGGCTTCAACCAGGATTCAGTTATTTTTTAGGCTTTTGGTGATCAATCTTAGAAAACAAAACAAACTTTGATAAAAACTGAGTTGTATTTTGTAGTAGAAAACCGTTGTTTTCTTTAAAAATATGAGCTATAACGTTGCTTTTCAATGATGCGTGATATGTCCCCACTGTTAAGTTCTCGATATCTTTCCTTATGCACCAAAATTATGATCTTATAAAATTCAGGTTTTAAACTGAACACTTTGGTTGTGCACAGCCTGATTGAATGACTTATTTGTGAGCTAGAGAGAAAAAGTCAATTCTTAATGCTAGAAAATAGAAATACTAGTTACCAAGAATCCATTCGCCAAAAATCAGGAAAAAAAAAAAAAAGGACATAGACATGCAAATAGGACAAAGGACTTGATGGTCCCAATTGCTTTTGTGCTAGAGCAGATCCTGTAATTGGCAGGAAACAAACAACAGGCCAAATTGGCCTTAATCAACACCCTGAACCACAGAAACATGAGGCCAAGGAAGCGGCATCTCACCTTACATTCGCCAGCCATACAGCTTTTTCTGCTCTTTCATGGCTTCCACCACTGCCCCTCAAGCTTCATATTCTCTCTTACTCAAGACCCAAAATGATAGTCGCCACCAGAGGGAAAAATATCTGTTCATGAGAAAAGGCAAATCATGTAGAACAGGCAATAGAGGAAGTGCTTCAGTTGTTTATGCAGCGCAAGAAGGACCAGGTAAGCGCCAAAGAGCACCACCAGGGGTGGATACAAGAATTCATTGGGAGAACGAAGATGAAGGGTGGGTTGGAGGAAGTAGTACTAGTTCACAGCAGAGAGAGCAAGCAGAGGATGAGCAGAAGGATCTGCTGGGAAAGAAGTTCGCTGATTTGCTCGATGATTCTTATGATTCTCATTACCAGTGAGTATATTTGTTTCTTAGAGATAAAATTATGATGTTTTAGAACTAGAAATAATTAAGTTAGTCATTTCCTTTTTCTTTTGAGAATGAAGCTGTTAAATATTAGCCAAGATTGAAGGTGAAATTCATTCTTTTATTTACTCTGAAAATTATGGATTCAGAAAATATATTTCTGGGCTCCTTCAATGCTTTTGATCCTTCAGATATATCCATAAAACCAGAGAAAGTAGCACTAATAACCCAATTGCAAATGATCATCAGGTTCTTAGGTATATCAGCAGATGCTGATATGGAGGAGATTAAAGCCGCATACAGGAGGCTATCAAAGGAGTATCATCCAGACACAACTTCACTTCCCCTAAAGACAGCTTCAGACAAGTTCATGAAACTCAGAGAAGTTTATGATGTCTTAAGCAACGAAGAGAAACGCAAATTTTATGATTGGACACTGGCTCAAGAGACTGTAAGCCGACAAGCAGAGAAAATGAAAATGAGACTGGAAGATCCTTATGAACAAGATATAAACAGGTATGAATCTGTCCCGGACACGGTCGATCGTCTTGGTGGAAGAAACATGGGTCTGAGTGATCAAGCAATGTCAGCTCTTACTATAGATATTTTTATCATCTTCTTTTCAATTGGTTGTGTCATTTTTGTTATCTTCTTCAAAGAACCATATTAATAATTTAAGTTACACGGCACAATTGTATAGTATGATATATTGGCAAGATGGTATAATTTTGTATGAAATGCGCCTGAAATTTAGAATGATCATTGAATTGTCAAAATATATTTCTGGTTGTGCAAGTTATGTGCTTGACGTGGTCTTGGTATTTTGTTCTCTGCACTTTAGCTTTAATCTAAAATTACCATTAATCTCTTAATCTCAATTAATCAAACCTCATATTATGGTGCGATGAACTCAACAAAGGATCCATGTAAAAGCAATAAACACACTCAAACGGCCACACTAACCCTCCCAACAACATCTTCATAGATTTTAAATTGTTCTTTAAAAACTTAGGCAAACAAATCATGATTTGTGGGAAACATTCTTCATAATTGGTAGACACAATGGAGTCTGTTTATTGACATGTAGGCACCTTTGATATTTGTTTCTATATAGCTTAAAATGGGATTTTTGTTAATGCTAAAAAGAAAAGAATAAGAAAATGGTCTCCTCAATCCTTAGAAGGAAATGTTACAAGAAATCATTTCCATATATATTCTTAGACAATATACAATATGGACTGAATGTACAAATTTCCATTGGGATTTGTCAAAACAAAAGGAAGGAGATCGAGCCAAATCTCTATGGAATTTATATTGTGAAAAAAGAAACTAAAGTGAGTGACATTATTTCTTCCTTTGGTTGATATCATATGGGAATAACAAAGAATATTTATATAAAAATTTTGTTTTATATAAAATTTTCTTGTACAAACAATGTGAAGATTATTATTATTTTTAAATAGAATATCTCATTTAAATTCATAAAATCCACACTTAACTAATTACATATTAATACATCAATTTATATAAAAAATTTATTTGTATATTAATTTTTCATAAAAGAGAGAGAGAGAGAGAGAGAGAGAGAGAGGGGGTCTGGGGTTGGGGGATATGCAATTTGTAGGGCTAAATGGAACAATATATTAAAAGACCATCTCACTTAAAAGTTTAAGTTTTTATATGAGATGATCCTTTAATATGGTATCGGAGCTTGGTTGACTAAGAGGTCCTAAGTTCAAGTCTCATTATCTCTAATTTCTTAAGTATTAAATACCGAGCAATATGAACTTGTGCAAGTTTCAAGCCAAAATGTTGGAGCTTTTACTTGAGAGGGTGTGTTAGAGACTAATATAAATTATATTTTACGACCTCACCTATCGACTTAAGCTTTTAGGTTAGATAGTCCTTTAATACAATAAACAAAAGGGGAAAAAGAAGAAGGAAACAGGAGGTAAATAGAGAGAAAATGAATTTGTTTCCTCACCTTCGAATCATTATGTTTTGTTTCCCGAATTAAACTCGAACATTCAATCGTTTTATAAAATAAATAAAGTGCCATTACCACTCGTCCATTTATAGCAAATAGTTTTAAGCAATTTATTAATGAATTTGTTTCCTCACCTTCCGAATCATTATGTTTTGTTTCTTGAATTAAACTCGAACATTCAATCGTTTTATAAAATACATAAAGTGCCATTACCACGGTCCATTTATAGCAAATAGTTTTAAGCAATTTATTAAGGAATAAACGGATAAAAATCATCCCTACAGAGTGATCGACGTTCATGGCATTTCATTTGCTTTATATTTCTTAATTGCTATAAAATACATGAATTTCCATGAGTACGATCTATTTATAGTGATTTTAACCACCTTTGTAATCATATCCTAATATTTGAGAGATAAACATCAAAATATATGGTCACAAATAATAAAGAAAAGAAATCATATTCGTAAAGAGATCATTGTTCATGGCAATTCACTCACTTTATTCCTATTGATTTGTTGAGTACATAGAATGAATGAATAGCCCCGAACACAATCCATTGATGGTGATTTCACCCATTCTTGTATCCATATACTAATAAGACATCATGCCCATAAAAAGATCATTGTTCATAGCAACTCACCCACTTCATTCCCACCCATTTGTAGAGTACATACAAAGAATGAATAGCCATGAACATGATTTATTAATGGTGATTTCAACCACCTTTATATCCATATACTAATATTTGAGAGATAGATGTCAAAATATATGGTCATAAGAAAGAAAAAAAGAAATCATGCTCATAAGGAGATTGTTGTTCATGGCAATTCACCCACTTCATTCCTATTGATTTGTAAAGTACTAAGAATAGATGAATAGCTATGAACACGATCCATTGATGGTGACTCCAACCATCCTTATATCCATATACTAATATCCGAGAGATGGATGTCAAAATATATGGTCACAAAGAATAAATAGAAGAAATCACGCCCAAAAGGAGATCATTGTTCATGGCAATTTAGCCATAATCCTACTTATTTCTAGAGTACATAGAATGAATGAATAGCCACGAACACATTTCATTGATGCTGATTTCAACCACCCTTTTATCGATTATGGCTATTTGAGAGATAGACGTCAAAATATATGGTCATAACGAATAAAGAAAAAAATCATACCCATAAAGAGATCGTTGTTCATGGCAATTCATCCACTTCATACCTATTGATTTGTAAAGTACAAAGAATGAACGAATAGTCATGAACATGATTCATTGATGGTGATTTCAACCATAGTTGTATCCATATACTAATATTTGAGAGATAAACATCAAAATATGTGGTCATAACAAATGAAGAAAAGAAATCATGCCCATAACGAGATCATTGTTCATGGCAATTCACCCACTTCATTCCTAATGATTTATAGAGTACCAAGAATGTATGACTAGATATGAACACGATCCATTGGTGGTGATTCTAACCATCCTTATATCCACATAACTATATTTGAGAGATAGACGTCAAAATATATGGTCACAAAGAATAAAGAAAAGAGATCATGCCCATAAAGAGATCGTTGTTAGTGGCAATCCACCCACTTCATTCCCATTGATTTGTAGAGTACATAGAATAGGTGAATAGCTATGAACACAACCCACCGATGGTGATTTCAACCATCCTTTTATCCACATACTAATATTTGAGAGGAAGATGTCAAAACATATGGTCATAAAGAATAATAATAAAAAAAAAAATCATGTCCATAAAGAGATCGTTGTTCATGGCAATTCACCCACTTCATTTTTATTGATTTGTAAAGTACATAGAATGGATGAATAGCTATGAACACGATCCATTGATGGTGATTTCAACCACTCTTGTATCATATACTAATATTTGAGAGATAGACTTCAAAATATATGGTCATAAAGAATAAAGAAAAGAAATCATGCCCATAAAGAGATCGTTGTTCATGGCAATTCACTCGCTTCATTCCTACTCGATTTATAGAGTATATAGAATGGATGAATAGCAATGAACGCGATCCATTGATGGTGATTTCGACCACTCTTGTATCATATACTAATATTTGAGAGATAGACTTCAAAATATATGGTCATAAAGAATAAAGAAAAGAAATCATGCCCATAAAGAGATCGTTGTTCATGGCAATTCACTCGCTTCATTCCTACCGATTTATAGAGTATATAGAATGGATGAATAGCAATGAACGCGATCCATTGATGGTGATTTCGACCACTCTTGTATCATATACTAATATTTGAGAGATAGACTTCAAAATCTATGGTCATAAAGAAAAATAATAATAATAAAAAAAGAAATCATGCCCATAAAGAGATCGTTGTTCATGGCAATTCACCCGCTTCATTCCTACCGATTTGTAGAGTACATAGAATGGATGAATAGCTATGAACACGATCAATTGATGGTGATTTCGACGACTCTTGTATCATATAATAATATTTGAGAGATAGACTTCAAAATATATAGTTACAAAGAATAATAAGAATAATAATAAAAGAAATCATGCCCATAAAGAGATCGTTGTTCATGACAATTCACCCACATCATTCCTACTCGATTCGTAGAGTACATAGAATGGATGAATAACTATGAACACAATCCATTGATGGTGATTTCAACCATCCTTGTATTTATTTACTAACATTTGAGAGATAGACATCAAAATATATGTTCACAAATAATAAATAAAAAAATCATGTCCATAAAGAGATCATTGTTCATGACAATTCATCCACTTTATTCCTACTTATTTGTAGAATATATAGAATGGATGAATAGTCATGAACATGATCCATTGATGGTGATTTCAACATTGATTGATCATGAAAAGAACAAGAATATAGCATAACAAGATGACTAAAAAAAAAAGACTTTCAAAGGATTGAAAAATTTCAAACATTGAAGAAAAGGAGATGGAAAAAGTACAAATTTTAGGCACTATTTATAGGACTTGTATGTGTTGAAACTGGGAATTAGGTGCATATCATGCCAGCTTTGATTGTTTGTGATTAAGGAAATTTTCTCGTACGTTTTTATTTTGGTCAGGGATTTCTATACTCACAAACACAAATTTTGTCTGTTGATTATGTACGATAGCTCTTATTGAACCGATAAGATGTGCTATTATTCATGTCACCAACTATCTATATATTTTTTCTGTGCTGTCATGCATAAAAACTTCCTTATAATTCAAAATCAGAATCGTAGGTGTTAGGATACATACATACATACATATATATATGTATGTCGGTCTATACATCCGCGATGTAGAAATGATCCATCAAGGTAATTTCTTCGTACGTTTTTATTTTGGACAAGCATCTATATTCTTGCAAACACAACTTTTGTCGATCGATTATGTAAAATAGCTCTTATTGAACCGATAAGATTTACTACTATACGTGTCATCGACTATATGCATATATTTTGCGCCGTTATGCATAAAAACTTCCTTATAATTCAAAATGAGAATCGTAAGTGTTAGAATATACATTTATATCAGTCTATACCTCCACGTTTGAAAAATGATCCAATTTTGGTCTTTCAAATATTTGTATATAATCAATTGTTTAGTGATTTGATTATATTACCATAATTGTGTTTGTGTATTAGCATAGTCCTTATAATTAACTTTATTTGTATTGTGTTAAATGTGAATGGTAAGATATCCTATACTCGTGAGAAATACTTAAATTTGGTATAATTTATAGAACATGTTCTTGTTTTTTCAACTTGGTACCAATGTTTTGATAGAAATTGAATTTATATATATATAGTTGATGTATATCGAATTTAAATTCTTAATTGCTCTCAATTTTTTTTATATATAAAAAATACTAAATTGCATCTTTTGAACAACTTCAACCTTAAAGTGGATTTATCTAGTTTTAAAGATTGTGTCCTTCAATTTTTTTTTTAACGTCTTACAAAAAGAAAAAAAAAACCTCAATGTGCATGCGTCTTAAACTAAAGTTTATGATATGAGATTTCATTTGATTTAAGCAAAAATAATTAATAATAAACTTATGCTAATGGATTGTGATTGAAAGTTAAAAAAATTTCTCATTTTTCTCTTTCTTCATCTCGATATCAGTGCTTTTTTTTTATTTTTTAATCTGCATATGTTGCTGGAGGGGTCCAGTGTATATATTATTTTTTAACCGATAGCAAAATATCATTGATTAATAGTTAAATCTATTAGCCCATAAACAATCCATATTTCTTCATCGTATAAATCACTGAGAATTGCTCATTTTCATAGCACGGTTCTAATAATAAATCATTTTCCATGAAATTCATTTTCCAATAAACAAACAGGGGTGGCACAACTTTTTTGCTTTTATTCCATTTAAGACTTAAAGCTATTTTAACAATGATTTAGTTCTTGTATTGGTTCTCGTGACCAGACAAGAGACTGAGGATGTATTTGGCAATGAATATTATTGGTCCTAAAACAAAGCCAATTTTATAAAGTGAATTTTTTTTTATTAAAAATATTATAAAATTATTTATAAAGTCTCATATAATAATTAAAATTTTTGAGTTGAAATGATTTTATAAAGTGAATATTTTTTTTATTAAAAATATTATAAAATTATTTATAAAGTCTCGTATAATAATTTAAATTTTTGAGTTGAAATGATTTTTTAATATGATATAAGAGATTTGATAATCAAATAATCATGAGCTATAATGTAGTAGTGAGTCCGTATAAATTTTAAATCTAAAAAATTTTTGTTTGCAGAAATTATTAAATAATAATATAAAATTATTTATAAATCTTACATAATAATTAAATTTTTAGATTGAAATGGTTATTTGACACCTCTTAGAAAGAGATTTGAGAGTCCAAATCCTCATGAAATAATAGCGCAAATCCTTTGAGGGATTCTCCTTCTTCTTACATCTTCTAAGGGAAAAAGAATAACGTTTCCTTGAAAGTTCATAATTCAAGTCCAAGTCAATACCGTTTCACATACAACACACAACAATCCATGCTCCTGGGGCTTTTGCGACAAGATATTGGTTAGATTTATCGTATAGAAAAACAAAAACCGAATTACCACATTTAATCTTAAGATTTTGGATAATAAATAAAATGATAAAAAATCACTAATATTTTCGTCGCTATTCCTAAATAACAATAGTGACGAAAATGTTAGTTTTAGCGATGGATATTTTTATCTTCATTTATCTGTTTTTTTTTTTTTTTGTATTTTTTTTGTAGTTAATCACTATAGAAGTTTGTATTGGTTATTTACTAGAAAAAACTTTGTAGTTGTTAAGCTAATAACTAGTCGGATACTTCCATGTTACAATGATTTATTTATAAATAAAATTTTTTGTCAATATATATGATAAAAACATAAAAGTTTATTGTCGTCTTTTCTTGAACCAAAATTATGTATCATTTCTGCACTTTTTTTTCCAAAATTTTTTATAACAACTAAGAGAATAAAAATCAGTTTTTTTTCCAAAATTTTTTATAACAACTAAGAGAATAAAAATCAGTAGGAAGAGGACTTGTATTTTTAGTGTAATAAACTTTAGTTACCCATGCAAGAAAGCATTTCAAGGCATATTCCATTTGACTAGTAAAATCATTCCATTTGCAAGAATAAAATAGATCTAAGAATAGCGAGGGGACTTATAAATAACATATTCGTATTATCACTAATGAAAAAAAAGAAAAAAAAGGAGGTTATCATTAAAACTATAATCACTACAAAAAAAAAAAACAAAAAAAAAAAAGAATTAGCAACGGTCTAGACCATCACTAATTCGGCAAAAGCCATCGCTAATTTTAATTAGCGACAGTTTTGCGACGGTCCAAAAACCGTCCATAAAATACCAGATCACTAAAATTTTGCAATAGTTTTTGAACCATCGCTAATTTAGCGAAGGAAAAAACCATCGCAAAATTAAAAAAACTCGTCGCAAAAAATGGTAATATAAGCAAGGAAATTTTGCGATAGAAAACAAGACCCTCACTAATTCCGTTGCTAAAATATTATTATTATTATTATTATTATTATTATTATTATTATTATTTACCCTCATTTTAAATTAACCAATTGCTATTTAAAAGTCTACAAAATACTCCAAAACATAATATTTTAAAATTTCATAATTGTTATATAAAATTTATTAAAATTTAATAAATATTATTCAATTATTAAATTCTTGAAAAAAAGTAAAAAGTTTGTCGTTATTACATGATAGCTAGGAGAGATTGACAGGATCGTCATTTGGAGGCTTGGTGGAATTGTCCGGAGGTTGGATGGAGTCGTTGTTAGTGTTAGGCACGATGAATGAACTCGCCACCTTGCTGAAAATACCTGCAGTAATATCTCGTTGCATCTATGTCATCATCACATGTTGTTGTCAAGTGTACTTCTTCAACTCATTTGTTGTAGCCAACATCATTGTGACAATACCCCATAGCTCTTAGATCTCTTGCATATTTGCAATAGTTTGATCCTCGCTTTCCTTTTGTTGTGCCTTGTCACCAACATGGACTCGCGAAGTTACCAAACCGGAGGCCGTATTGATGTTAAAGGCATAGTGAGATACATGTGACCTAAGTCCGTACATCCTCTTCCTCTTACTATCTCTTCCACCGATGGTCTTCCTAAAAATCTCATTAATGCCGATGTTGGTTGATGAAGTCCCTCTAGTCCGTCTGCTAGCAACCTCCTTCTCATTTATCTATCTTTCTACGCCCTCCTCTAGAATTGTGAAAGACATAATATTAAACGAGCTATGTGAAATAACATTATAAAGTAATTAATAACCGACATCGATAACTCTTGACCATTGATCGATGCATCGATCATCGATCTTTCTTTAATGAGTCCTTAATAAAACCTCACGAGGATCGAGTTCACGACCCAACATCTCACACTCGAAATAAATAAACGTAAATGTATTAAATATTCTCAAATATTTAATTAATTATTTTGACATTATTACACACACAACATGTGTATTGCGTGCTCTCTATGATTGATTGACCCCCATATATCTTGAAGGACCAGCTTCTACACCATCAATCTCCTTTTGCGGTTTCACGTCGCCATCTCGGATCGGGTAATGGCCTCGGGTTTTGCCCATTCCATACTCCATGCATCCTATATGTCCCGTGAGATAAATATTGGCTTCAAGCTTCTCTTGATATGATAAAAAAATTCAAAATATCGCTTCGTGCCAAATTTTTTCACGCTTTCTTAACTCGCTCTCGAAGTTATTATCCCACGTAAATGACTTCGCAAGAAAAATAATAATATTCATTAGTACATTAATTGGATATTATTATCTCGTTATTTAAGTATGAAGTAATGTAATAAATTAAATAAATAAATTAGTACCTTAAACTCTTTTCGGTAGAAGTCTTTTATTTTCGTACTAATGTTTTTCCACATCTATTCAAAAATATGAACATACTCGTAGAATGTCTTATAGATAGTGTGAGCGTAAACATCGAAAGGATACAATCTATGAAAATAGATATTAATTTAACAAATAAATGAATACATAATTATGGTAACAAAGAAAAAATATGATTCATAAAATTAAGCATAACATTAATGTACTCATTGCGACCAACGAGAATGATTGCAACTTGTGGATCGACCGTGGATCCGATAGGTTCCGAAGTCGATGGACGAGGTACGTCCTACAACGAGACTTGTTTAGGAACAAAACGATTGTCTTGTTGTGATGACGAGAGCACCGACAACGATGAAGGAAAAGATGGGGGGGGAAGTGGAGGTCCGTAATAAGAATACGACTCAAGCTCGGACATGTTAGGTCTCAAAGTGTATATCGTGGGGGCACTAATAGGGTGGTACGAAGGCATGTCCATGGGGGGTCCACCCGACCAGAAAAGGAAAGAGAATGACATCTACTTCCACAATCACCGCCCGAATGAATATCCGAACCGCGACCCACCCCGTATGACATGGGCCACTACGATCGAGAACGCCTCCTATCTCGAGGCATTATAACCTACACATTATTAAATTCATTAGCATTAAAATAGAATATTTATTATGTAATACTAACATATAACATTTATATTAGCATGAAAAATTTCAAATTTATTTATTTAACTAAATAAACTCCATTACTAATTGATTTTTTAATTACTAAATATAATTTTGAAAATTATTAATTTTTTAATGACTAATTATTTTTGTAATTACTTAACTCCTTTAATTAATCAACAACTAAATAAACTTAATTTTAATTAGTAAAAATAATTTACAAAAAAAAGTTAATTTTTTAATTGCTACATAATTTTGTAAATAATTAACTCCTTTACTTGGATCAAAATATATTTTTAATCCCAACTAAATAAACTTAATTACTAATTAATTTTTTAATTACTAAATATAATTTATAAAAAAATTAATTTTCAATCACTACTTAATTTTTTAATTAATTAAATTCGTTACTTAATCAACAACTAAATAAACTTAATTACTAATTAATTTTTTAATTACTAAATAAAATTTTGAAATTAATTAATTTTTTGATTACTTATCTCCTTTACTTAATCAACAACTAAACAAAATTAATTACTAACTGATTTTTTAATTACTAAATATAATTTTTAAAATTATTAATTTTTAATGAATAATTATATTTGTAATTACTAAAAATTTTAAATATTTCTAATAACTTATTAACAATTTTCTAAAATAATTAACTTTCCAAAATACCATCAATTAAACTAACTAAATTAATAAATAACATTTAACAATAAACTAACTAAATTAACATTTTCTAATTAACAATAACAATTAACAATTAAACTATTAACAATAACAATTAAATTTTCTTAACAATAAAATTAACAATTAAATAATTAAACTCTCAAAATTAACAAAAATTAATAACAATTAAAATTTTCTTAATAATTAAACTCTCACAATTAACAAAAATTAATAATAATTAAAATTTTCTTAATAATTAAACTAACTAAATTAATAATTAACAATAAATTAACTAAATTAACAATTAACAATAATAAATAAAATTAAAATTACATCAAGTAAATAATTGAAAAAAATTAAAATATTAATTAAGGAGTTGGATGAGAGAGGACTTTTCACCAACACAAGGAAGAGAGTGAGTTGCGCCAATGGAGGGGCTTCGTCGGATTATTCTAATCGGAAAATGGCCGGTTGAGGAAAGTGGGGGAAAGGAAGAAAGAAAGAGGAAAATGAGGAAGAACGGGGGAGAGATGGAGGGAAGAAAGGGAAGGAGGAGAGAGAGGAGGAGATTGGAAGGAAAATAAAAAGGATAGGGGGAAGATTTGATGGAAATGGAAGGGAGATCGGCCCTGGAGAAGAAGAAGAATAAAAGAGAGAGAAGAATTTTTTTTTTTTTTATATATATACAAAATTTTGGGCAAATTGTTATATAGGGGTTGCGAGGTTTTAGCGACAGTTTAAAACCCGTCGCTAAAACCGTTGCTAAATATCTGAAAAAGTTAAAAAATAGTCATTTTCCTCCAATGGTTTGGTGATTAGAGACGGTTTTCGGATCGTTGCTAATTTACTAATTTTGTGACGGTTTTTTGTAAAAAAACCGTCGCAAAAAATGCTCGAAAGAAATAAATTTTTTAAAAGTGGAATTAGCGAAGGTTAAGAAAATCGTCGCTAATTTCCATGATCCGTGATGGTTTTTTTTACAAAAACCGACGCAAAAATGGCTGCATAATTTTTATTTTTAAAAAATTGGAATTAGTGATAGTTTTTTTGAAAAAACCCATTGCTAATTTTCCTCGCTAAAGTGCTTCAAACCGCCACCATTTTAGTAAATTAGTGACAATTTTGAGACCATTGCTAATTTTTCTTCGCAAATCCTTTATTTTTTTGTAGTGAATTAAGAAAAGTTTACATCAACTTCTCTAAAACAATTCATCTGGAATACAAGATTTGCCACGGTTGCATTATTTTTCAAGTTTTGAAATTATTTTTTATTAAGAGATTACTTATTAACTTTTTAAATTAATTGTCTCTAATATCACAAACTTACAAAATTATTACTACCATTTTTTGTTTAAATCATTGTCATTTACTCACACATGTACTCATATTATGAGAATGTTAGCGACTTGCCTAGTGATTTTCATTTGTCTCTCTTTAGATATTGTGAAAGGAGTTGAATGGATGTCCTTCTCTCTCTTTTCCTGTAATGATTTCATGGTTAACTTATTATAATGCTATATAAATAAACTTTTTCATAATAAATTTCGCATACAAATTTATTTGATTGTTACTTTATAAAATACCAATAATTTATCAGTAATAAGATTTACACTTCACCAGTTAATATTATATAGTTGATACATGACTTTCTATGGAATTATTATTATTATTTTTGAAAATGATTTTTTTAAAATTTTTATTTTTTTATTTTTATTTTTTTTTACTATTGATTTACTGATGTCTTAATTTCATTATAGTTACCTGGAATAAATATCATATAAATAATGAGAATAGCCTAATACATGGGCCAGCGCAGCAAGATGATACTAGTCCATAGAACATGGGCCTAAACCAATGTGGGTATGGCCCAGTTAAAAATATTTATATGTATATGAGAAAAGTATAAAGAATATTGATTTTTGTAAGTGAAGAACAAAAAACAAAAGAAAGAATTGATTTTTTATCCATTGACGGTATTTTATAAAAGTATATTATTTAAAATTTTAATCAGGTAAGTTTTTTAGAATAAATATAAATAATAAAAAAAAAGCTTAAATGGGTTTAATGCTCAATTTTCTCTGACCCTCCTCTTGCCTTTTTTTGAAAACTTTCTTCCCCTCACACTGCCCCTCTCATCCGGTGATAATGCGGATTTCTCATCAAAGTACAATGGCTCGTCTTCAATAATTTGCGATTCAATTCAAACAACTTCATGATGGCCTCCTCGAATTCTTCCGGTTGGTCCTCCGCATTATCATATTCAATACCTTTTACCTTTCTGCTCTTCTCTGTAATTTCCAACTTCCTCTTCAATTCTTGAACTGTTATCAGAAGATGTCACCTTCTGAGCATCAGAATGCGAGAGAGAGGGAGAGGGAGGAGAGAGAGATCGTTGAATATGAAGGATTTTAATTCTAAAATATTTTTTCCGGTTTTTTATTATTTTTTATGAAAAACCTAACTAGATTTCAATAAGTTTAAAATTTAGAAATCCTCAAAATCAATTTTAAAATTTAATGATTCAATCGCAAATGAGTTAAAATTCAGGAATGATTAGACTCATTTAAATTGAAAAGAAAAACAATCTTTTTAAGAAATATAGTAGCATTTATTTCCATATCTTTGTAACTAATTGACTGACATAATGGATTCTATGTAGAACATGAATTAATGTACTTTTTATTTGTTTCCATACTGCTTAAAAATGGGATTTCAGCTAATTAATACTATAATGAAAAGGCAGAAAAGGAAACACAAGAGAATATAAAATCAAATTGAGTGGCAGTATTCTTTACCTTGATTGAGATCATATGGAAATAAAAAATTAAGAATACATATTGTGAATGAATACCGCAAATTGTAATGCAAAAAGAAACAATAAAAAACAGAATCACCAAGTCGTTTTATTAAAAAAAATCGTCCCCATATAGACATCGTTTTGTAAAGAAATCATTCCATGAAGAGATCGTTGTACATGGCATTTCATCTACTTTATATTTTTTATTGCTACAAAATACATGAAGTGCCATGAACACGATCCATTCGTAGTGAATTCAACCACCTTTGTGTCCATACTAATATTTGAAAGTTAAACTTCAAAATATATTGTCAAAAAAAAAAAAAATCAGATCCATAAAGAAATCATTGTTCATGACAATTCGTCCACCTCATTCTTACTAATTTGTGTACTACATAGAATGGATGAATAGCCATGAACACGGTCATTTCATGGCCATTTCAATATGATTGATCGCTAAAAGAACCGAAAAACAATAGCTAGATTGACTCGGAAAATGTGCTCGAAAGCATTGAAAAATTGAAACGTAGAAGAAAGGGTGATGGAAGTGGACAAACTTTAGGCACTATTTATAGCACTTGTATGAGTTAAAATTGGGAATTAGGTGCATATCACGCCAGCTTTCATGGTTTGTGATTAAGGTAATATCCTCCAACTTTCTTATTTGGAACGAGATTTTGCATGCTAGCAAGCGCAAACTTTGTCCTTCATTGCGTGGGATATTTTTTAGGTATTGTTTGGTTGTAAAGAGTGAAATTGATAGAATTAAAATGAAATTTTTATTCTCATTTTGTAAATATTTAGTTGGAAGAAAAAAGTGAGAATAAAAATAAAAATTAAATATAATTTTATTTTTTTGAAAAAATAAAAATGAAAATAAAAAATGAAAATGAGATTTTTTTCTCTACAAAATAACAATATATTATTTTTATTTATTATGTATCAATTACTTCATAATAATTAAATGATATCTAAAATTCTTAAGACAAGCATAAAATCGCAATTGGGAGTAATTATTATATATTTACAATAGTTACTCTATGGATCTATTTTTAAATAGAGATATAAAAAAAAAACCCGGAGAATCACATCGGGATCCATAAAAAAATGATAAAAATATTTTCCATACATGCTCAAATTTCCTTTCTTTTTTTTTTTTTTAATTTCTCTCTCATATTTTTCTTTCTTTTTTGTCTCTATCGCTTTCTTATAGAATAAATATTGGTAGTTACTTATAGAGTAATATAAAAATTTTCAAATTGACACAATGAATTTTGTATAGAGAATGAATTAATGTGCCTTTTTTTTTAAAAAAAATCTCTCTCCTATTATTTATTTATTTATCTTTTTTTTTTTCATAGAGTAAGTATTGATAGTTATGAAGTAATATAGAATTTATCAGATTGACATAATTAATTTTGTAGAAGATGAATAAATGTGCTTTTTTGGTTTCTTTCCATATTGCTTAAAATGGGATTTTAGTTAATTAATACTATCAAAAAAAAAAAAAAAAAACAAGAAAACACAAGAGAATATGAAAACGTTTCCTAAGTCCTTATTAGGAAATGTAAAACGAAATAATTGCCATAAATTCATAGGCAAAAGTCCTTGGTTGTTGAGAGTTGGTAGCAATACTGAGTAAATTATAAATTAGTCTCTTTTGTTTGGATAAAAAAAATTTAGTTCGTCATTTTGGTTTCAAAAACTAATTATTTGATCATTTTTACTATTTTTTAATTAATTTTTTTAGAAAAGAAAAAATATGGAAAGATGGATTAGAAAAAATGTCTTATAAAATAAAAAAATATTACATTAGTTGTTGTCAATACTAGTTAAAAAGATTAAATAATTAGTTTTTAAAATCAAAATGATTAATTCAGTCATTTTTTAAAACAAAAGGGACTAATTCATAATTTACTCAAGCAATATTGCAAACATTAAAGCAAATACCACTTACACTAGGGACTGAATATACAAATTTACATCAATAACGGTGATGGGTTATATTTCCTGGGCACGGATGTTAGGAACATGTAATTCCTTGGCATATAGGTATTTTTTTTTCTATTCAATGGTTAGTGTTTTTTTGAAATAGTCCTTACCTTTTCTTTCAAAAGAACTATGAACTAATAAAGAATACATTTTGTTTTAAATTACAAGAAAATTACTTTACTTACTAGTCTTGTAATGGATGACCAAATTTAATTTGCATTTGATAATTTTACTATGAAAATTTGCTAGGTAAAATACAAAATCTTATCCTTCATCAGAAAATTTTAGTTTCTAATCTAGAAAACCTTAGTCAACTACTATTTATATTTTTAATAATCTTAGTATGAAAAATCTGCAAGAGTAAAACGTAAAAACTTGAATTTTAGAATTCAAAATTTGATAGAAGGAACAATTTACCAAAAAAAAAAAAAAAAGTGAAAAGAAAACAAAAAAATCTTGAGAAAAATGTTTGATTAAAAAAAAAACCTCCTAACTATTTAAGAAGTTTTGATCATTGATGTTTCATTTCGGTTTAATTTTTAGATATTTTCATAAACAATTAAAATTTGGTTTTTATATTGTTTTAAAAACATCTCCAACTATTTTTAAATATTATAACTTTATCATTCAATATAATATAATATATGTTAAACATATTGTTTTAAATTATAGTGATCAATGACTACAAACTAATAATGGATTATTTTGTTCAGAGAGACGTAGTGGTCGAAAGGTGAATAAATACACCATCAATCATAGTCTAAATATAAAATATTGCGTGTATTGTATATACTTGTACATATAATTCTTACATATAATTCTTTTCGAATTTAATTCCCAAGTTCAGACAAAAATAAAGATAAAAAAGCAAATATGATAAAGTATAAGTAAATTTAGAACGGCCTAAAATTTCAAAAAGAAAAATTTATAATGTTTTTATTGATATTTTTAATACGAAATAATTATTTAAAACTTTCGTATCATATTAATAAAGTTCAAAATATTTATGGGAATTGCAATAGAAGTAATTAGGTTATCCATTTATAAATAGGGATGGCAATGGGGCGGCGCGGGGAGCCCCTAAAATTTTTTTCCATCCCCTCCCATTCCCTAAACGAGGAACCCCGCCCCTGCCCAGCTCTTAAAAAATTTTCCCGTCCCGCCCCATGCCCTGAATGGGGAAAAATTTCCCCTACCATCCCCACCCCAAATGAGAGCATAAACGGGGTAATTTTTTTTTTGTCTCATTTTATTTAATTTTATTATCAAATTTTAAATTATAGCAAAACAAATGATAATTTATATAGAAAATAAACTGTAAAAGTCATTAATTATGGATTTTATATAGGGTATAATTATAATTTTAATGAAAAAAAAAGAAATGGGGCAAACGGGGCGAGGCAGGCAAATCCCATCCCCGCCCGTCTCTCGCTCGCGAGGTGCCCCGCGTTGACCGAGAAAAATTGACGTGGGATGAGGTGGGGCTCTGTTGGAACGAGGCAAATTGCCATCCTTATTTACAAAGTGTGTGAAGAAGCATGGTTTAGCAATTGTATAACCTGTAACTTTTTCAAGTAAATTTGGTTTGAGTTCTAGAAATTTTATTTTATTTAGTTTACCATTATTTAATGGTAGAAGGATTATCTGTCATTTTGTAGTCCAAGATCCAAGAAACTTTTCATTGAACCGAAAAAAAAAAAAGGTTATGTGGAGAAGAATCTCCATTACTGTTCTCTGGGAAGTTGTTACAAAAAATCATGTGCCTTTAACATTTTCAAAATTTAGTAAGCTTTTCTCCTCAAAACCATCCGATGAGTCCTAGTAGTTACCCTTTTCTCGTTGTGCTTCGTAGTCAATTCTTCAATTCTGATATGTCAATAAGCCTCCGTAAAAGAATGAGTTTTATCACTAGATGATTAATCTTCGTTAGGAAAGCGATTAGCAGTAGATTAGATGGGAAGATATATGAGCAAAGGAAAAAACTTATTTGCAAGTGAAAAACACGACAAAGACAATCTCAACCCTATATGATTAGTTCACTATATGATTTTTTTTTTAAATTTTATCTGTAAGCCTCTATATGAGGATGGGGTTTATCACTATATGGTTGGTTTACATAAAGAAGATATTGGCAACAAACTCAACATAATGATGTGCAAAGAAAAAAGATTTTCCCAATAAATAAAAACACTACAAAGATCATGTTTGTCCTGATTAAATTTATATGTTCGTTACCACTTTATAGTCCCAAACTTACAACTAGAAAATTTTACAAGATATGAAAATATATACATAACAGTCAATGCACAAGGAACAACTAGAAGGTTTCTTTAATTTTATTCTTAATTTACAAGGCATAAAAAAGTTAGATCGTTGTTCGAATAAAAGTCTTTTTAATAAAACTATGAACTAATAAAACGAGACATTTTTTCTTTAAAATCACAAGAAAACAAACTTTATTAACTAGTCTAGAAAATGTTGATTGCCAATAAGTTGTATTTGATAATTCTAGTATGAAAATTTGCTGGAGTAAATAGGAAAATCTTATCCTTTAACGGAAACCTTCAGTCACTAGTCTAGAAAACGATGGTCAACTATAATTTATATTTTTGATAATTTAGTTTGAAAAATTTGTTAGAGTAAAAAGCAAAATTCTATCCTTTAACAAAAATTTTGGTGATTAGAATTCAAAATTTGATATGAGGAGCAGTTTTTTTTTTTTTTTTTTTTTTTTTTTTAAAGTAAAATGAAACAAAAATCCTTGAGAAATATTTAAAGAAAGAAACGAAAAGAGGATTAAAAAAAAGCATTTCCAACTATTTAAAAAGTTCTAATCTTAGCTATTCAATTATGTTCAATTTTTGATTTTTTCATAAACAATTAATATAGGTCTTCGTATTTAAAAAAATAGTTACAATTAGCAGTTAAATTTTTGTAAAATAGTTATTCAATTGCTCGAGTAAATTAAAATTGTGCTAATATACATCAATATTTTTAGAGATTTTTACATATTTTTTCTATGAAGTTTTTGATTGTTCTAATTGAGTGTTCCTTTTTTTTTTTTTCCCTTCTATTTGAATGTGCAAATTTTTAATTTTTTTCAAATCAAGTGTTTATTTTAGATTATGTTGAATGCATGTTAACGTGGTGAATAAATTGACAAGCAAATATATAGACATGTGTGCCATGTATGCACGAACATTTCATTTTATTTCTAATCAAGTTTCTGTATTTTTACTTTTTTCTCTGTTTA